TGCAGAGGTCGCCAAACAAATTTTTCCTCCCACCCATATCCGACCCAATCCAAGCCTTCATATATCATGTGTACCCGCACCCAGTGCCACCCACGTCATTTTTTTTTTTTTTACCCAGACCCACCCCACCCGAGCTAATTAATTTTTTTTTGTACCCGTGCCCAGCCACACCAAGCATCGGCAGTAGAATCCTTACCCCTACCCAGCCACACCCAAGCCTAAATTTTCTCCACCCGCATCCGGCCGCACCCACGACCAATTTTCATCCACCCATGCCCGGCCGTACCCATACCCAAAGTTTACGATCCACCATGCACTTCTTTTTTTCCCCGATTTCAAACTTAGGTCTATGCATGTTAGAAATTCACTTCCATCTTCAAACCACCGCACTCGCGACAACCCTGTTTTCAATAATTCGATAAGACATTCAAAAGCTTGAACTTTGAAGTAACATTCAGAAGTGGAACTAAGGGTGCACTCACACTAGCACTATCTTAAATGTATCTGACGGCATTTACGGCAGAACCTGTATGCATCTGGCCGCAAATCCGTCCAGAAATGAGTAAAAAAGTGCTAGTGTGAGATGGTAAGTATGCCCTAAGGAGGGAAAATTAAACGGCAGAAGAAAAAGAAGAAAGCGCACAGAGCTAGGAAGAAGGGAAAGGCGAAGAAAGAAAAGACACTGAGAAGAAAAACGCGACAACAACGGAGCGAGGTGAGTGTTCGAAGGCAAAACAACTATGACAACGAGGACGACGTGATGAGAAACACAAATGACATAGCCGCAAGTTTAGAGGAATGGGATGCAGGCGGCATTGGTCGGAGTCCACAGCGAACCGGTGGTTTGAGGTTCGACTTTCTAGTTCGTAATGTTGAGATGCGTGATGAACACAAAAACCCTATGGAGAACCGGTATAAGGTCTCGCAGCAAAGCGCTCCAGGGAGGGGACCATTGATGATTGGCACTGAGTACTCTCTCTCTCTCTCTCTCTCTCTCTCTCTCTCTCTCTCTCTCTCTCTCTCTCTCTGTCTCTCTCTCTCCTCCGCCTGGGCTCACTGGTCAGCAATTAAGGAATGCACCTACTGCTAGAAGGCGTCCAGGTACGTCGTCCTGATGGCGTGCACCAAGATCCTAATCTCTCTCTCTCTCTCTCTCTCTCTCTCTCTCTCTCTCTCTCTCTCTCTC